CTGGAGTGCAATGGTGCAATCTCGGCTCACTGTAACCTCCGCCTCCTGGGTTCAGGCAATTCTCCTGCCTCAGCCTCTTGAGTAGCTGGGATTACAGGCACGCACCACCATGCCCAGCTAATTTTTTGTATTTTTAGTAGAGACGGGGTTTCACCATGTTGACCAGGATGGTCTCGATCTCTTGACCTCGTGATCCACCTGCCTCGGCCTCCCAAAGTGCTGGGATTACAGGCGTGAGCCACTGCACCAGGCCCATTTTTAACATATTAAATGTATGCAACTATATAGTCATCTGTTTCTTCATTTGGTAATTCTAACATGTACAGTCTTGAAAATCTGACCATAAAATTGGTTGCTTCTGCTAATACTTACTCATGACGGTTCATTTTCTCATCTGCTTTGTGAGCTTTGATTGTTAGCTTATGTTATCTGAAAGTTCATTTGTGGGAAGTTTTTGAGGTCTGGTTTAAAATTTTCTTCCTCTAGAGAGGGTTTACATTGTTTCTGCCAAATGCCTGGTGATGTTACTGCACCTGGGCCACGTTAAGCTAAATTAAACTAAAATTGCATATTTGCTCATAAAGCTAGTGTGAATTCAGGCCCTAAAACCCAAGTAGGAAGACTTTGTTTCTTTCTTTCCTCTTCTCTGTCCTTTCTTCCCTCCCTCCCTCCCTCTCCTTCACCTTTCTCTCTCTCCTCCCTGCTTTTTTGTTTCCTTTCTTTTCCATCTGAGTTAAGGCTAACATAGCATATTCCTCTGCAGGGGATTCTTTTTGTCCAGTGATCCAAGGGTACCTTTTGGGGTATTAATATTTTTCAAAAGGGCCTTTCATTGCAACCGAATACCCAGGCCATTCCCCATGTTATACTCTAGTGTTCATTAATGGGGCCTCTTATTTCCCACGCTAAGGTCCTAGGGATATACACAGTAAACATTGGCCTTTACCTGCTTATATCTCTGAATTCATGTTTTATTGTCATTCCTAGACTCTAATTTGCTGCCAGCTCAGGCATACATCCACTAGAATTTTTAAAAAACGATTTATCTTAACAGTTTTAGGAATGCTAAACTGGGAAAAATTCCTCTGGATGTCCAGTTCTCCACATTGCTGGAAAGGGAATCTTCTGTTCAAGTTTAAAAAGATCTTTACCTGAACTTGATACAAAGCACGTGTTGTACAAACATACCACAAATAATTGCATCTGTAATTTAGAAATTATCCACTGGAGTGGTACCAAAACCAGGGGCACCTGCCTACTTAACCTTTAAATTATCTGCTCTTTTTTTTTGTGATGCTTTAAAATTTGAGATATTGAATTAAGACATGCTAAAGACTAGTGTACATTTTACAGATCTAATCTTGCCCTTTTTTTTTGAACAAAACTTCTTAGTTTTAGTGCAAAGTGAGGTAATATTCAATTTTGTAATATCCTTAAGTGGCTGAGGATATTTTGTAATATCCTTCAGGGCTGGATTGCCCTGTCTGAAGAAAATTCTAGGAATTTGTATTGCTCATGTCCTCTTCTGTCTGTTTCTCTTCCAGGAAAATTATGATCACATACAGTCATTCTGAAATGCAATTATTCAAGGCAGCCAATACCATTTGCCATTTGCAGCTGAAATAGGCTAGATTTTACTTCCAGGGAGATTTTATTTCTCTCTTTGCTCATTGCTTTGTTATGAGTGAAGTTTCTAGCAGTTAAGACAAAGGTGAAGACCAACAGTTTCCCCCATGTATATTTATGATGGCTTATGTCAGAGACCAGGAATAGTGTTCAAAACAACAATCAGAAACACTCAGACCTGCCAAGGATCATTTATAAGAGAGAAAGCAGAGCCCGTACTCTTAGCAGTAAGGAAATTAGTATGAATTGTACTTCCTTCCAAGGTGGCTTTGGATATATTCCTCAAGGAATTTGCCATCATACCTGGCTGGAAGAAATAACACCTGTATGCACTGCATAGTTTTTAAGACATAAATGAGACGTGTAATGCAGAACTGGTTGTGACTGGAATCCAGACGCTGCTTCTAACAGCAACACCCTCCTTGCATGACTGAGGAGATCTGTGGGAACTTGGACCACATACATAGAGTCTTTTCTCCAAGTTGCTTCTCAAACTGCATGGACAGGACATTAAAACCAGTCAAAGAAAGTATTTTGAAGCCAATGGCTGCATAATTAATAAGCCTAGCTTCTCAGGGTGCATTGTAGAGATAACTATTGCTGATCAAAAGAATTGTTAATACATCTCTGACACTTTTTGGAAGTTTCTTGCTTGCTAAGTTCTTTCAACAGATCTATTTGAATAAGGCTGTGAAAATGCCCCTTAACATAGAAGACATGGAAAATGATCAACTTGGTGTCTTTGTGTGCACGACTCCATGACTTAGATTCCTTATCTATACGGGGTATATTGTGGTGTGCATGTGTGAGTATTGGAGGGGAGAGAGTTGGACTGAGTGACCTCTTATCCTACTTCTTAAACTGTAGCGACCCTTTGAACCACAGATTCATATGCAGATTCTGATTTAGCAGGTCTGAAATGGCCTGATACTTGGTATTTCTAACAGGCTTTCAAATGATGCTCACGTGAGCTTTTACGGTAGTGAGTCTCTACCTGCATCTCTGACAGTTTATGACTGTATGACGGCTGTGTTAATAGCAGCGATGCTACATATCAATGATTGCTAAATATAGCTCTTCCCATTATAAAACCCTATTAAGGACCACCTTTTGAGTGAAGAAATCCTCAGTGTAAATTAAGTCCTAACTCCTCAAAGAATTGGTGAGCAACAGCATAGACAGAGCCAGACCGGGATGACTGAGGCAGAGAGTTAGGCAGTGAGCCCATGCTGGGCATACTTTTGAGAAGCAGCAGATAGAATTTGCTGATGGATTAGATATGAGGTGTGAGAGGAAGAAGGGGTCAGGGCTTATGTTAAAGACTTTGGCCTAAACAGCTGGTTGAATGGAGTTCCTATTTACTGAGCAGAGACAGTCGTGGGAAGAGCCGGTCTGGATGTGTGGCTGGGTGAGGGGATCGAGAGTAACGTTTGGGTACGTTCGTGACTATTCTGCATTCAGATGGCAATGTCCAATAGGCGATAGGCATCTGGGGGCAGCAGGGAAGCCTAATACTGGAGATGAAGTCTGAGTCATCAATGTATGGACAGTATTTACATTCATGATCTCATCCAAAGATCATAAGAACCCCGTGGCTTTGGTGTTACTACCTTCATTTTAGAGAGGAGGCGATTGACGCAGAGAGAAGCTAGGTCACTGACTTCAGGATCACACGATCCTTAAGTGAAGTGTAGCAGTCTGCCTCCAGAGCCGAGATGGGCCAAGGACCAAATGTTTCCAGTCAGGAGGAGGCCAGCAGTGATGTGAGTGGGAAGAGTGTCAGGGGAAGGAGGGAGGCAGAGGTCAGACTCAGGACTGAGCAGCTGACCATACCTGAAGCATTAACATGCAAGTCTCCGGTGAGTCAGATCTCCAGATACGGAAACTCTAGAAACTCTAGGTTGCTGTTTAAATCCAGTTGCTGGTCCTGCAGTACCAGACAGTGGGGCTGCGGTGGCCCTGCTGTGCTGCTGACCACTACGAGGTTCGCCTTGAAGCCAGCACACTCTACTTTGTCTTTCTAAATGACACTGCTAAGTGCTCAGTGATTGTTTGCGTTATCTAAAAGTACAACTTTCCCCATGTGATGCCAAAGAATCCTTACCCCTGTGGGGAGCTTTAGCAGAGGCGTGTGGGCCTGGCAAGGGGGGCAGGGTGAACGCTGGCACTTAATTAGGAAGGAAAGTCACAGGGCAGCTGAGCACATGGTGCCTGTGGGAATCACACAGGCACAGTCCTAACTAGAGAAGAGACATAAATGAATTCCCAGAGTGAAGGAAGTGAAAGCGATATCTCATCAGACAGCTGTTGACAAAACAGCTATGTGGCTTTGAATGAAGAATTTCTGCATCCAGGCTGGACAAGGCAGGGGCTGGGATTGGAGCTTGGAGCTGAATGCCGTGAGAATTTCAGCTCAAGTTAACAATGCAATGCAGATCCTGCAGGACTGTGACTGATACACTTTTGCTGATGATAGTAAATGCTTCATGAATATTTTTTGATAAACAAGTGAAGGTTAAGCAGTTATTGATGTCAAAAAGGCCCATCAGGGATACATCCATAAGGGTCTGGTCACATGTCTTTAAGCTCTGGATTACGAGGTGGCTCTTTCTTAAGGTCAGAAAGTGAACATATGAAGTTAGCGTTTAACAAACATTTAAAAAATTCTTATAACTAAGTCGTAAACTAGTAGAAGATTAAATAATTATAATACAGAATGTTTGGCTGGATTGTACATATTAGTTCTTTTAGCTTCTTAGTTGTCTCTGCTGGGGAAGGAGGCAAGTGTGAGGGTCACACTCCTCTCCCTGGCCTCACCACCACTTGGTTTCAGGCACAAATTAGCTTCTCTGTGGTATGGTTTGCTAATTTAATCTAGCTCAGTGGGGAAAATGACATATTCACAAAAAGCTCTCGAAGTGACTCCTAAACCCCAATAGAGCTCAGTATGAGTATATATATATATATATAATAAAATATATACTCTATATATTATATATACTCATATATGTTATATGAGTATATGTACTCATATATATTATATATACTCATATAATAATATATATGATATATAATATATATTCATATATGACTCATTATATATGTATATATACTCTCATAAAGAGTATGGAGTATATATACTCATATATATAATATATATTATTTGTGAGAGTGTATATATACATATGTAATGTATATATACTACATACATTGCTCCAGAAACGATGCTCACTTTCCCTCCAGAACATTGAACACTTGCCCTGATTAAATTCCAGAGCTAGCAGAGAAAGCAAGGCAACTGGAAATCAGCTTGACCTGCCTGCTGACCCTGACTCACGTGATCACCTTGGTGCTGTGCCAACTCCCTCACTCACCACTGTTGCTGCGTTTCCTTAGGTCATACCCGCCTCCTGGCCCATCAGCTTCCTCAGGAACCTCCACGAGATCTGAAGTCTTGGAGGAAAGAGGAGAGAGCATGGGATGAGCAATGTTATATCTGTGGGTCAGCTGAACGGGGATTTTGTTGTCAGTAAGACAGCTTACGTAGAATTGGCATCACACATGAGGACCCAGTGATTGCTGTCCTGGCTGTTTGGCTAATTTTAGAGGAAGCTATGTCCACTCGTGGGCAGTGTACCTCCCTTCAGGTGTCTGCGGCAGGCTCAGGCTTGGCAGTGGTAGAAACTCAGTGAGTGCTGAGTGAATGGCTCGAAGCACAGGCCACAGCCAGGCTTCTTCCCAGGAATAGGCAGCAGAGAGAAATCAGAAATCCTGCCCACATCCTATCACTTAAAATATTCGGTGAAACCCTATCTCTTTCTATAGGGGTTCTAAATACGAGTTTTAGAGAATGGGATGCCCTGTGGAGGGATGCACTGCTTAGGTACAAGTTAAGTACCATTCCCGTTGCAGCAAAGTTAATTGCTTTTATAAAACGTATCCTCACTTTTTAAAGTAAGTCACAATCATTCTCCCACTTAGGTTACAGAAATAACAAGAACAACAACAACAATAATAACAATAACATCACTCTAAATAGCTAATGGTGCCCGATCATTTACCATGTAGTGTTTTTAAGGACTTTTTTACCCCCCAAATTAATCCTAGGATAGACCAATTTTTCAGAGAGAAATCTGAAGCCAAGAGAGAATCAGTAGCTCTATTTGAGGCCCCACAGTGATATGTGTGGATCTGGGGCTGTGAATCCCAGGTGCTGCCCCCAGAGCTCGTGCTCTTAATTACTGTGCTTCATTCCTTGGTGTGCTAGAGCATTTCCTGGGCTGGTGAGATTCTCACAGTTATCACACTGGTGGCATGAAATGGATCACTGTAGGAGTTGTACTCCATGGAACTGGCAAATCCTACAAATCAGGGTCCAGCTGGTGGTTAAACATTTATCAGCACGCCACTGAGTGCCTCTTTCAAAGGGTCAGGTGACCCAGCTCTATATCCTCTTCAAAAGAGGAGTTTAGGGGCCTCTGAGGATAGTCATAAATATATATATACACACATATATACATAAGATATATAATATATATACATATATATGTAAGATATATACATATACATATAACACATATATATTATATATGTTAGATATATGTATATGAGAGTGTGTGTGTGTGTGTGTATATATATATATATGATTGTCCTCAGAGGCCTCCTAAATTCCTCTTTTGAAGAGAACAGAGCCAGGTAGACAGAGCTGGGTCATCTGGCCCTTTGAAAGAGGCACTCAGTGGTGTGCTGATAATTGTTTAACCACCAGCTCAGAGGTGGACCCTGATTTGTAGCGTTTTCCAGTTCCATGGAATAAAGCTCCTACGGTGATCGATTTCGTGCCACCAGTGTGATACACACACACACACACACACACACACACACACACACACATTGAGATGGAGTCACACTCTGTCACCCAGGCTGGAGTGCAGTGGTGTGATCTCAGCTCCATTTCCCAGGTTCAAGAGATTCTCATGCCTCAGCCTCCCAAGTAGCTGGGATTAGAGGCATGCACCACCATGCCTGGCTATTTTTTGTATTTTTAGTAGAGACAGGGTTTCCCTGTGTTAACCAGCTCGTCTCGAACTCCTGACCTCTGGTGATCTGCCTGCCTCGGCCTCCCAAAGTGCTGGGATTACAGGTGTGAGTCACCACACCTGGCCTGACAGTCATATTAAAAAAGTTATTTATTTATATCTTACCAGAAAGGGACAAGTTATCTTCTAAGCTCTCCTAGCCGGCTCTAGAGCCCTTTAGTACCACCCTCCAGAGACAGATTTTTGTTACAATTTAGCTTTAAAATTTTTTCAAACACTGCAGCAGAAAGAAGGAAAAAAAAGTCATAGGAATTGTAGTCACTCACACCCTGCTCCCTTTGAAGCTCACAATTTCTGTACAGAAGTTGGTTTGCAGAGAATTTTATTTATGTTAATTTAATAATACAAAACTAAAGATTATTCATAAAGTAGCCAACTAACTCCCAGAATATTGTTTGAATTTGGTTTCTTCTAGCCTTCCCAAAGCTGTCAAGCCTTTTATATTTTAGAACATTTGAATGTACATTAAGGAAAACACAACAATTTGGAAACAGCCGAGCAGTGACTTCTCAACAATGTAAAACAAATGCCTCTGCAGCCCTGGAAGAAAATAAACTTGTGGAACAAAGCTTTGCTACATGGGAATATGTTAGCTTTAGGACATAAAAATACTAAAAATAAAAAAAAATGCAAGATGCTGAAGTTCATTATTACTGACCTGCAGGCAGGAAGCAAAATCACTTTAAAGTACCAATCAATTGTTTCTGTTTTCTTCCTTTGAGGATAGTTGGACTTCGGGGAAAGAATGAAGTCACAGATATTTAGGTACAATTTGGTTTGTCTTTGTCTCCTGCAGCTCTCAGAACAATGCCTTCACAGGGCAAAACTCCAACAAATATCTACTGGTGGAACCAGTGCCAATATAAGTAGACAGTGATAAATGGACATCCCTTTGACATTCAGAAAACTATGCTTTTTGCTCCTAAAACCAGCCTGTAGGGTCCAGATGTTGCTAGAGACAAAGCTATTTTAGAGATGAGAGCAAACTGGACATTCCCAGTTGTCCCTCTAGTGGTCTTGCTGCTTGTGAGCAGCAGCCCCAAATGAGGAGGCTGACGTGTTCGTTGCCTACTATGGAATGTTTCCACGGAGGTCTGTTTGTCATAGTTCAGAACCACAGGAGCAGCCATCTACTGCTCCGGCGGATAGGTCAGAGCCATCTCTGGGGAGCCGTCTCTCTGCAATTGCCTCGACATGCTGGCTTTTCAGTTGCCCTTCCGCCAATGCCAGGCTCACACAAGCATGAGAGAGGCGTGCGCCGGAGTGGGATGACATATTGGTTCTCACCAAAGATAGGAGAAAGGCCTGTTCAGAATGCTGGTCAAAGTGGACAGAGATCTCTCTACTCCGACCAGTTTTCTTTGTGCTTTTCCTTTGATTGCTGGGTGGCATCTACAGTCTTGACTTGTAAGGGGAGATGGTTGCAGGCTGACAGTGAGCTCTGTGTGGCTTTGGGAAAGCAACTTATTGACAGCAGTGGCCCTCTTCGCCCCCCTGAGAAAGGAGTTGCCACATGGTACCTGGGGTTAGGGAGATGATTAGCATTTCTGGATCTCTGTTTGAAACTAATGGAATGTAAGTTTAGTTTGAACCTGCTGATTTGGCAATATCTGTAGGACTGGTCTGGTGCTTGGGCAAGAGGAAGTATCCAAGGGAGTCATCAGTTTTGACACCGTGCTTGGATTAAACGTGAAAGAGATCTACCAAAAAGAGAGCAGAATAAGAAGACCAAGCAAAAGCAGACCCCTGGGAACACCCTGACTTAAGGAGTTACAGGAGGACACATCAGAGAAGGGGACGGGCTGAGCAGAACAGGGAAGTACCCTTGAGTAAGTCAGGGGTTTCCAACACTGCCCAAGCATGAGTGTCTCTGGGAAATGCCCTTCTCAGGTGACATATCTGCCTTGTTAATGGATTACACCCTTGCTTAACTTCATAATAACTCAGGTTCTGAAAAAACACAGCTAATGCCTAGATGCATAATGAAAATGGGTGCAGTGGTATGCACCTGTAACACAGCTACTCGGGACACTCAGGCAGGAGGATCATTTGACTTTAGGAGTTTGAGGCCAGCCTGGGCAACATAGCAAGACCCCATCTCTAAAAAAATTTTAAAAATGACTTAAACTATAAAACGGCAACAAATTCCATTTATTGACTGTCAATTTATCAGGCCCTGTGCTAAACATGTTATATATATTATCACCCAACCTAAGCAGCCTTTATTTATATATGAATTGTACCCAGGTATGCTTTGTATATTTTCATCACATTTAGCACCATGTTAATCCTTCTTTCAGTAAAAGAATTAGCATTGTCTTTGGGTGCCAAATGACAATGATCTCCTCCCTAAGGAGGTCATCAGGTACCTTAAACTGTCACACATTATCCCCTCACTGCTTTGAGGCAATGTCTACTGAAGTGAAACATTTTTCATCTTTACTATGAAATGCTTCAGTACTCATATGACACGCTCATTATAATATCCTTAACACACGTGTGCTACGTTCTCAATCTCAATAAAATAGGATGAGACGTATAAAAGTGTTACTTAATAAAAATGGCCGACAGTGCCACCATTGTCAGGGTTTTTCACTATTGGTTTGGCCTTTAGAAATGAGTAGTGAATTCTAAGGACACAAAGCTATGTCCTCCTGTTCTTTTGCATCCCCTACAATGCTAGTAAACTGTAGGCTCTTCATTCGTGTCTGCTAACCGAGGAGAAGAAAGAACTATCTGACGTTAATTTTATGTACTGTAAGGGAAAAAGAGTAAAAATGTTTTTCAGTTCTTTCCTCTTAGAAATCGGTGGATGCGAGAACAGAGTTTTCTGTGAGTTTAAAGATGTCTTCACTGATAGTCAGGTGGCATCAGTCAGAGGACCTGTAAACCTACCTACTCGCCTACCTGACCTATGTTCCTACTCACCTGCCTACAATCTCAGATCATCTTGTGGCTTAACCTGCACCCAGTGAGGAAGCTGCTTCCACTCAGTCTCTGAGAACCCCTTCCAGGCACGTGCCCTGCCCCTCTTCCCACAATGCCCTAATCACTTGATGTTGAGAGCACTCAATGGGGCAGACCATTCGAAGGCTCATCTGTGTCTCACCTGGAAGCTTGCAGTCCAATAATGCGGGCTGTGACAATGGAACTGATAACTAGGTGTCAGCTATCATAAGTGGCCATGTGAAGTGGAAGGTCCTTGCCTGTCTGCTGGAGGAATGGTGGCCTTCAGCCTGGGCTGAAGAGTTGTATGGCATCTTGGTGCATTTATAGAAATTCTGGTTGAAGCAACCAGAGACAAGATGATGATACCAGGTCACAGAGATGCAAGAACAGTCAGTTTAAGTCAGATAAGACTAAGGAGAGGTGCTTAGAAGGCTGAGTGCCCACAGAGTCATAGTTCAATACCTTTAAGAGGGCAGTTTTTGTGTGAAATCAAAAGGTGTGTCCTCTCTTAGAGAGAAAAGACAAAAGATGTGAGAAATAGCTGTGTCTTTGAACTGGAATATAGCTAAAACGAAAACTGGAAATCGCCGGGATTTCCGAGTTCCTGTCCATCATTTGAGCCAAACATTTCTGTGTGTTGACTTATATGTTATCTAATATCTAATATTGGAGGGTAAAGGAGAGGGGGTCCCTGGGAGGGGTCAAGGAGCATGAGTCCAAGGGGATGGTCTCTGGGTGGGACAGTAAAATAATCCCTGGGTGTTGGCAACAGGAAGTGAACCTTTAGTGCTTCAAAGCACTGTGGGTTTCTCTTTGGAGGGTACCTGACTCCTTGCAGACCCACCCTCATGAGGCGGTTAAGTGGAATCCCCCATACTGCAGTATCTGAGGCCTCCTCTGCCCAAGACCACCACAGACAAACCAAGGAAGGAAGGGGACAATTACAGAGGTTCTGTGAGGTGAGTCAGAGCCACTGCCGGAGCTGCCCTTCTTTGTCCTCTGGGCCAGGGAGGTGCCGAAGCGGAGGGTCTCGTAGACAGGGTCCACCTTATTGCCACAGGCTGCAACAGAAGAAAAAGTTCATCTGAGGAAGCTCAGCTGAGAGGACAGAGCCAACTGCCTACCAGGTCTCCTGGTGAACAGCGCCTAAGAAGCAGGTTTTGTGCAGAGGAGCTTAGCCGGTGGGTAGACAGGGCTTTCGTGGCCATGCCTTCCTCATGATGCGCCCCCACCCAGCATGCTCCCATTTGCAGGTCCTGCCATGTACTAACTAGGACTCTGCCCCCCAATTCTTCCTGATTGGGTTTCCTCTTCTGTTATTTGTCTCTAATTTCAAGGTTCTTGCAGGGACCAGCTTTATTTCCTCTACTGGGAGGCTGTGCTCACCAAGGTACAAAGCCTTGAGACACAAAGTTTACAGTAGAAGGCAGGCGTTTCAGAAAGAGCTTGTCGCTACTGGGCCTCATTAATTTCTAATTAAAAGCTTTCTAATTTAAAATTTCTAGTGTAAAACTTGCCCCCCTAAAAAAAGCAAAAATGTAGAGATTTTCAGAGAGAAAAAAATAATACAAGTAAACTGAAAGGTATTGTTAAAGAAGAAACCCAAGCCAGAACTATCAATAAATACAGGGCATCTTTTCATCTTCATTAGAGAATAATATAGTCACTGAGTTCCACTAAGCACTGGTATATAGCCTATATTTATTTTTATAGCAATTATGAAAAGCAACAATTGCTGTTCTCATTTTGTGGGGCTTGACAGGTCAAGTAGCTTGTTCAGAGACACACCATTGTCCACAGGGAGCTGGGCTTTGAGCCTGGTCTAGGGGGTGCCACGCTTCATGTTCTTTCACTCCAGAATGCTGCCGATGGTGGGATTACTAATCAGCAGCCTTTGGGACTTTGGTGTTTTTTGAGCTTCATCAGAGATAAGATGAAAATTCCTGGAATATGTGGTCCATTTTATGTTTCCCTTCCAGCAAAACACAGTCATACCCCAAACAGCCACCAATCAAACACACAGAGATGCCCCACAGGTTTCAGAGCTCTGGGAGGACAGCAGCCATTAGTGCTAACTTTGCTGTTCCAGACACAACCCGACCCATCAACGTCCCAACTCACCAATGGGCATAACTTCCTTAATGCAGCCAAACTGTTCATGAATGAGCAAGGGGGAGCTGTAGTAACGCCGGAACCCCTTTGGCTGGAGAGAGAATGAGGAAGGCAAGGGGTTAATGTCACTGATGAGATGGAGAAAACCACACAAGAGCCCCCAAAATAAAACCAATTGGTTTCTCCGGGAGTGTGCTCCTGTTTCCCATTAAGATGCTGACTTACCCTATAATTTTATAATATAACCTGAGCAGGGACACAGAGGCAGGGAGGTATAGGTGGCAGCAAGCAAATTACACTGTATCCAGAAAACGAGGTCCTGGCCCTGGCCTCCCCAGTCCTGCCTGCCCTCCTCCTGCAGCACAGGGTATCCTCCTTTGCATCCCGGATTGCGAGTGGACTGCCACATATTATTTCACCACAGTTTGTTATTGTGGTTTTTAAAATAATATAAATAAAAGGCCGGGGCATGAGAAAGTCGGCCTCAGAGGGAGGCCTAAAGGCTCTTGTATGTCTGAAGAGCTTTACCCAGAATCATCTGCTCTGTGTTCTGGACTCTATTTTCTGTTTTTCTGACCTCTCCTTCATGGTCTGTCTTGGCTTATAGGAATCACCAGTGAGGAAGGAGAAGGGGAAGCAGGGGAGGCAGAGGTTTGAGAAAAGAGACTCACAAATCAGAGTAAGTAGATAAACTAAGAACCTGGACTTACTATACTCCATCACTGGATGGGAACTTGGTGGCCCAGTCCCTACTAGAATTCAAGAATCCTTTCTAATGTTCCTGGCAAGTGGTGTCCTTTGTCGGTACAGTGTCAGTGACGGGAGGGGGTGAAGGACCATGCACTAACCCTAGAGGCAAGACATCATCTCTTCTTGTTAAGACTTAGTTTCCACTGATCCTAGGTCTTTCCCCAGGAGCCTCAAAGGACAATAGGATTACTCTTCTATGTGATAGGTCTAAACATTTTTTGAAGACAGCTGTTGATGTCTGTCTGATTATTCTCTAGGGTAGACATTCTTGGTCCTTTCTAGAATTCTTTGGCCATCCTCGTTTCAAATACCCTCAGATGTGCTCTGGATTGCTTTTTCTTTAAAAAAATTTTTGAGACAAGGTTCTTGCTCTGTCACCCAGGCTAGAGTGGACTTGCACAATCATGGCTTACTAACACCTCTGCCTTCCAGGCTCAAGTGATCCTCTCATCTCAGCTTCCTGAGTAGCTGAGGCACACACCACCACAGCCCGCTAATTTTTAAATTTTTTGTAGAGACATGGCCTTGACATGTTGCCCAGGATGGTCTCGAACTCCTGGGCTTAAGCGATCCATGCACCTTGGTGTCCAAAGTGCTGGGATTACTGGCATAAGTCATTGTGCCCAGCCTGAATTGCTTTTTAATCAGTGTGTGGCACCAGAACTGAAGCCCATCCTCCTGAGATGGTGTGAACAGCCATCTCAAGGGCCATTCAATCTCCCTTGGTTTGGCCAACATGATTCTGTTAGAGTGGTACAGATATTTATTGCTCTTTCCTCTTTTTTGGAGGCTTAGCTCTTGTCTTCTCTTGCTCCTGGCTGAACTGACAACCAATAAAGAAATGGGGTGACCAACCATTACTATTTAGTAATTAGTTTGCCTGGGGCTTAGGGGGTTCTTGAGGTGCATGACTTTCACTTTTAAAACCTGAACAGTCCCAGGATGTGGGACTTTCAGTATTAAAACTGAGAAAGTGCCAACCTGGGAGAAGCCGGTCGCTCTATTAATGACCCTGACTCCCTTTCACGGTGGAGCATTGCTGATTAGGTTGATAAAGCTCCTTATCTGTTTTCTGATTATGCCAATTAGGAAGCCAAGCTGGCAGCCAGTTCTGGGGTGCTTCGCTCAGGGTTTCAGGGAAGGACTTTGGAGGGAGTGATGTCACTGCAGCAGGCAAGTGCCCTAGCAGGGCATTGTGGGCCTCACTCCTGCACAAGCCCTTACCAGCTTGCCCATGCACCGCTGGGGTGACAGGCCGTCTGTGCACTTGTGGTGGATGCTCATCTTACAGGCTTTGCAGCGCAGTCCGTGCTTAGCATTTGTTCCTGTCAGGCACATGGCAAACTTTGGTTAGGATACAACCTGCCCTTTCCTGCTGATAAGTCTAAATCACAGAAAATGAGATTCCCTCTATAACCAGGTAATTCTTTCCTATGGCTTTTTCATGAGGCTTTCAAAATAGAAAAAAAAAATATATGATAGATTCTTTTGCATTCTCCTATGTATTCTACCTAAGGTACATGCTCTGGTTTCGCCCCATCTTTCCTATTCACTAATCCAGCAGCTCCAAGCCTCCTCCATGCCCTCTGTTCTCTCAATTCAAGCTGGGAAATTCCACTTTATTTGCTTCTCATGTAGGTTACCCAGTTCTACTTTTCTGTGTCTTACTGAGTAGTACAAGTTCTGAAATTTCACCTTTTTTCTTCTGTCTTTCTATCACAGGATCTGAGCTGTTGGATAAACTCTCAGGAAAATGTTTAAGGGGGAACAGCAGGTCTGTGTGAGAGTGGGGCTAACAGTCTTCTAAAGTAGGGGAGAGAGGACTCAATCAGATGCCAAACCCAGCCTGGGGAAAGAGGAAGAGTACGCTGAGGCTGCAGTTAGTCACTTAGCTTCTTGGGAGAGGGTGCTATCAGGGAGTGAGAAGAGAGAAGGCAGAGAAGAAAAGGCAGAGAGCCATTCTGGTAGCTGCATGCAGAAAGGCCCAAGACAGGAGCACTGGAGAGGAACTGTGAGGCCCAACAAGAGGGCAGGGTGTGGGAGCTTCAGCAAGGTGGCCGGTACCGGACACCGGTGTTCATTATTTCAGAAGGTGGGTGGATAAAGGTTAAGAGAGGGTGTTAAGATGGGTATGTTCTGCCTTCATCTAGTCCAAGAAAAGAGAATGTGGGACGAGAAGTGCCATCTGCTCTGATATCTCAAAGTAAGATGGTAGGTTCCCAGGCAGGTCTCAAAGAAGATGCCAAAATGGATTTTTGCCACTCTTAGTTGACCAAGCACTTCATGTATTAGAAAAGAGGAAGAAAGGGGAGGTAGTGAAGAGAGGATTTCTTTGCAGAATTGTTGGGGCACTATCAGTTTTATCCCTTCTCCTTTACCATGATGAGAAGGATGGGGGTGCTCTGTTGTGTCCTCAGTCCTGAGAGGTTCTCAGAAAGAGTATTTTAACAGTTTGTCAGGGGAGTCTGTGAGACATGTGGCTGTGGCCACACCCATGCTAGGAAAAACCTAAAAATAAAAGACGTGGATGGCCAGGGGTCCCGTCGGCCTACTAAGGAGATCACCGTGTGAATAAGGACTGCACTCCAAAAGCTTGTCAGGAAAAGTACTGGTGAGTCCGACAAGTGTGTGATTCTCATGGATCAGATATGGATTATGTAGGATGCCATCCAAGATGACGACCTGGAGAGACACCAGGATTTCAACAAAGCAAGTCTCTTCAGAGGGGAGATATAGGCATGAATATGTCTATGAAGTCAAGATACCCCATTGTATATCACAGCTGGCCACAGACCCAACGTGAGGATGTCCTAAGGCTACAACATGCACCGATTCTCCACAATTGCCTCACCATCTAGCCACTCTCACCACTCCACCTGTTTTTGCCCTCCTCCAACTCGTCGCGTGTGCAATAGCCGGGATAATATTTTAAAAATGTAATTAAATCACCTCCATTTCTTGCTTGAGCATCTTTCAGCAGGTTCTCTCTGCCTTTCCAACGTACTATAAGACGTTGATCATACTGGCGAGGCTCTGCATGCTTTGGGAGCCCAGCTTTCACTTGATCTCAGGCCAGTCCCTCTTGTTCACCATGCTTTAGTCATGTGATCTTGCGGTTCCTTGGATGCATGAGCTCTTTAATTCCTCAGCTCCCTACACATGCTGCTTCATATGCTTGGAATGCTGTTTCCATCACTCTTCAGTTGGCTAGCAACCCCTCGGTCTGGATCTCTTGTCATTTCGATGACGCGTTCTTAAAGACATTTCCAACTCCTGTCTAAATTGTCCTTTTCCTATGATTTTTTCTCCCAACACTCTTTGGTTATCTTTCACATCATTTATCACAATTATTATTTATTTGAAAGTTTGTTTTATTCTGCCTTTCTCTCTGGACCATGAGCTCGATGAGATTAAGGACTGTGTTATTAATTTGCCTCGATATTCCCAGCTCTGAGCCTGAGAATATAGGCCTGTTAATGAGGAATATGAGGCCTGATAAACGTACAGTAAATAAATTAATGAGCACATTTTTTTGTGGTCACTCGTGAGTTGAAGCAATGGTGACTGGTTTGAGATAATTCATGGAAGTTGGTTCATCAATGATGCGTAAATAGTGTGCAAGAGCTGAAAGGGGGAATTTGAACATCTATTTGTATTATTTCATTTCAAACATGAGACACCTGAGGGTCCAAGTGGCAAAACATTTACCCTAGGTTGGAGAGGGTTCTGCCGGATTTCACTCTTTCACTGCTTGTCCTAAATATTTCCTCCCTTTATTTGGCTTGTTTAACCTACATGAGGATGGGGCTAATTGGATGATAAAGTAAGGGAGGGTAAGAACCTGGCACGCAACTTGGAAAAGGAACAGGCAAACCCTTGAACGAGCAAAGAGTTAGAAAACTTCCTTCAGGAAGGCATCATTTAACATAATGTGCGGCTGCTGTTATAATCACAGACAGAAAGTTAAAGTGACACATAAACACACTATAAATTATTGGGTATGTTTCCTTGTTTATAAATACTCACTAAAAAGTCCCTTTTCCTTTTTGAGAATAACTACTTAGCTGAAAGACTGCTATGCTTTCAAAAGACTGAACTTTGAAAGCAATTACTAATTTTTCATTTTCAAATTAGAGAATGCTAATTGTGTCCTATGTGGGAATTTAAGGAAAAACTTCAAAGAAGAAGTTATTTCATTGTGTGCTGGACTCTGAAATAGCACCATTTTGTGTGTGTGTGTGTGTGTGTGTGTGTGTGTGTGTGTTTATTCAGACCAAAACACCATGATTTCAGTTTCCCTCGTCTGTTCTTATACAGTGCACTGTTTTGTATGAACCAGACCACCAGCAACTATTTGGTTTCAGATGTTCCAATTTCCACTCTGGAATGACAGAATGATTGAAGAGGGAAGCTTACATTTTGCAGCTCAGAGAATAGTTCAAAGGAATAATTCGCATCACAGCAGTGGCATTAGTTTATTGTAGCAAGATATGGAGAAGCCGTGGTCTGACTTGTTTTATTACTAGTGACCCCCATCACAAAGTCATTGCTTCATGTGACCCTTATTCCTGAGTAGAGTAGGAAAAACATAGTTTTAAATTTGAATCTGTCTCAGCCTGGCTCTTTAGACTTAAGTAAACTACTCGTGTTCCTGGAACCTCAGCTAAATCATTAAAAGGAACCAGTACTACGTACTCTCAGAGTTGCTAATAGGATAGTATCATAGTGTATGCAAAGGGATTGCATGGGTTTAAATATCTAGAAACAAAGGTGCCACTGGACTTTGAATAAACAATGGTAGACTGATCATAGAATTTCCCACCTAGTCCTACTAACACCCTACTAAAATTACAGTCCAGGATTTTTTAAACAAAAAAACATATACTCTAAAGAACAAGGTTATGGGAGAAATAGCAAGACTAGATGAGAGTGTAACATATATTTGGAAGATAAAAGGCTAGTGGAAATATGGTAAGCAATTCAGTAGATGACAGGAAGGCTGAATTTCTCAATAACAACTTGGAAACTAGAAGAAGATGAAATTTCAAAAGCTGTTAAAATTTCCTGAGAAGAAAAATGATTTCCAAACCAGAATTTTATGCCCCAGCAAATTATTAACATGTATGAAGGTAGAATTAAAGATATTTTCCAATCTTCAGGGGTTCAGAATATTTACTTTACACATAAGTTTTCTTAGAAAACTGCTAGAGAATATGACTCAGAAAAATGAGGGACTAAATCAAGAAAGAGGAAAATATCAGGTCGATTACATAACAGAAGAACTGACGACTGACACAGAGGAGAGGTAAGCGACACCCCTCTATGTTAACTCTGCAGTACCCAGACACTGGAGCGTCAAGAAGAAGTACGGCAGTAGAGTTGGAGAAAAGTAGCACTTAAAAGTTTATTGATAGCCAGATATGGTGGATCATGTATGTAATCCCAGAAGTTTGGGAGGCCAAGGTGGGCAGATCACTTGAGGCCAGGAGTTGGAGACCAGCCTGGGGAACATGGTGAAACTCTGTCTCTACTACAAATTCAAAAACTAGTCAGGTGCAGTGGTTCATGCCTGTCATCCCAGTGCTTTGGGAAGTGGAGGTGGGCAGATCACTTGAGGTCAGTAGTTCGAAACCAGCCTGGCCAATATGATGAAACCCCATCTCTACTAAAAATTCAAAAATTAGCTGGGCATGGTGACGCATGCCTGTAGTCCTAGTTACTCAGGAGACTGAGGCATGAGAATCACCTGAACATAGAAGACAGAGGCTGCAGTGAGTTGAGATTACATCACTGCACTCCAGCCTGGGAGACAGAATGAGACACCATCTCAAAAAAAAATGCTTATTGTTACCTTTGAGGTTTTGATATTATAACAGATATGGCATTTCACAAATCTGTGAGGACATTTGAAGAAAATAATTATAGATACATGAAAAGTTTAGGAAGTGAAAAAGGCAATTTTTAAATTGAGGAAAAATAAAATCCGTGTAAGATTGTAAGAAATGTACAACACTTGAATCAGAAGTTAACAGTCACAATAGTGCATAAATTGGCCATGTATCACAAAATTGTGATAAAACTGCTTGGGAGGAGGAAGCAAGGGAGCAGAGATTGTGATAGGACTCTCTGTGGAAGGTGATAGCAAGGAAGAAAGGAACAAGGGGTGTTGCTGGAGACGTGAGAGCTGAACCCTCATCTTCTGTAGCAGGAGGCCAACAGGGTCAAGGAACAGCAGCAGGAGCACAGCATTTAGAAATGCTGAAATCAATGACAGGAGAAACAAAGAGGACAAAGTGGTTGCCTTTCAGACGCGAGTCTGGGATGA